TTTGCTCCCATTGTCAGTTTTTACCTGGGGCACCGGAGGGGAAATCTGAAGTGGGTGGTCTTCACCCCTTGACAGGGAGGGTGGGAGGAGGGGCTGATGGTGAAGGAGGCAGCCCTATAGCGTAGTTATGCAGGCCACAGTTATGCCGGCCACAGTTATGCAGGCCACGGTCAGGGTGGCGCGGAAACCAGAGGAGGGGAGGCAGAAGAGGCAAGACACCACCAGAAGGCAGAGAAAGAAGACTCTGGATTCTAAACCTCATCAGCTCAGACAGGGGAGCAGATGCCCTGCTTTTTCCCACCAACAAGAGGAAATATGCCATCTTTATCTGGCCAGATAAGATGGAATTACCCCAAAACAAAAGGAGTTTCAGCAGCTGTTTGGGAATATTCTTTAAAGTTCCCAACCTGATCTTGATTGACCAGAGACCATTGGTTCCAATTATTATGGCTGTTAACCTGGGAAATGGATGAGGGAGAAGCCCCCACCTCCATTAGGAGGAAGAACAAAAATAGAGCCCGCATCCAACATGTGGGGAAGTGGCTTGTTAGCCTGGTTAGTGACCAAACACATTCTTTTTTTTTTTTTTTTTAAATGTTTTATTTATTTCTAGGAGAGAGAGAGAGAGAGACAGCGTGAGCAGGGGAGGGTCAGAGAGAGAGGGAGTCACAGACTAGAACAGGCTCCAGGCTCTGAGCTGGCAGTCAGCACAGAGCCCGACGCGGGGCTCGAACCCACGAACCGCGAGATCATGACCTAAGCGAAAGTCGGACGCTTAACCGACTAAGCCACCCAGGCGCCCCAGTGACCAAACACATTCTGCAAGAGGCTCTTAGGTCGGGGTCCTGATTTGGGGCCAAGAAACCAAGCAAGACATATTCTACATTCTACAGTTTTGTGGAGATCGCGTTTGGGGACAGTGCCACAAAGGCATGCATGGGACTTCCAACCATTTGGAGGAGTTCTGGCAAAGGAGTCAAGCCAGAAAATAGCATTATAAGAAAGGGCTCCGTGGAGGGCCATGCCTCTTGACCTGGGAGTCTGCTGTGGCCAGGAAACAAGACGACGATTGGGGTCAAATATGTTCCAGTTCTTAAGAGCACAGCCCAAGGGTGAATCCGAAGGAAGAGAGGGGGTCCCACAGTGGGAAAGGCTGGCTGCCTATTCCCAAAGGGGGGTCCCGCCAAAGGGAACGGAGCCCCACCTCATGGTCATGGTTTCAGTCAAGGCGTCCGCTGTCCTGGAGGACGCCCCTATATGAGGTGACCGAATCTTCTGGTGGCACCCCACCATGGAAGGGGCACAGCAGATGGCATGGCACGTCCTGCTGGAGCGTCTCCTGGCAACAGGGAGGCCCGGGCACTGTTTGGCCAGAACTGTGTGGGAAAACGAGAGGTGGACGCAGCCCTCAGGGGCCTGGGGACAGGTGTGCCCACAGACGCAGGTGGCGGCTGAGAGTCAGCAAAGGTTCCCACCGATTCCGTAACACGTGTGGACTTGCCTCGGGCGAGCTGCCAGCTGTGCTGGACTTTGGGGACAGACCTGTAGGGCCGAGTGGGAAAGAGAGGGGGGGCTCTGCCCTCGTGGGCCCAGGCAGGGCGGTGCGTTTGCTCTCAGACCTTCAGACCATTTAGGGGTCCCCTCCCCCCAACCTGAGGCCTTTGGTTGTCTGGGCAGTAGGGGGGCAGGCTGCCAAAAGGCCGAAAAGGAAAAGGGGAGGAAGGGAGGGGTCCCTCCAACGGGCAAAAGGAGGAAACCCTTCTCCCTTTCAGGCGGTGGCGGGGGGGGGGGGGGGGGGGGGGGGGGGGGGGCTTCGGCGGTTCCCCTGGGGCTTCGGATCCTCATCAGGGAGTAGCGTCTGCCCAGGTCGTCGATTCCCCGAGGGCCTAGAGTCCATCCACCAAGGAAAGTCCTGAGAGAGCCCTGGGGAATCCAGGGAGAGTCCTGGACCGGCAAAGTTTCCCCCTGCAGGGTCCCCCCAAATGTGGAGGGGCACAAAGTCTCCCATATGGGCCCCCAAATGTGGGGCAACTTCGGGTGGAAGCTGGGGGCTGGTTGGTACAAAGGATTCACCTGAGGCAGAACAAAGGAGATGGAAGTTTATGGAATACACCACAGGGGAGTGGCCATCTGCCACCAGGCGGGGGTGGGGGCTGCTTTTAAAGGGGAAGGTGCGGTGGCTCAGTTGGTTAAGCATCTAACTCTTGATTTCGGCTCCAGTCGTGATCTCGCAGTGGTGAGATTGAGCCCTGAGTCCGGCTCTGTGCTCTGTGTTCTGCACTCAGCAAGGAGCCTGCTTAGGACTTTCTCTCCCTCCCTCTCTCCCTCCCTCTCTCTCTCTCTCAAAAAAACAAATGAAAGTAAGTAAAGGCGGAAGATGAGGAGGTCTGGCGACGTATGGAATTCTCTCTTTTGGTAACTGCCTGGTTGTGAGTAGCCCATTGGTCAGTTAGGACCTCTGGCTATTTCTGGGTGAGCCTCCTGACGGGCAGGTGTGTCTTCAGCCAAGTGGTCGCTGTGGCCCTTTCTGACTCCCGTCCCTCAAGCCTGTTTGCCTGAAAACGGCCTCCACAGCCAGGATCCCACACCCTGTGTGGACTGAGAGAGAAGGAAGCACCCAGCCATCAACCTGGCCATCTGTCTGTCTGCTTCTCCTTGTCTGTCTCTATGGAGGCCAAGCCAGCTCAGGCCGGGCCTCGGCCCAGGGGCACACCAGCGACAGGGCCGCGCCCACCCTCCCCAGGTGACCGCTCCGTACAGGGCATGATGATGGACGACCCACCTTCATCCACCACGAGTGAGCCCTGAGGTACGCAAAGGGCGAGGCCGTCCCAGCTCATTGGTTGTGAGGAGCACACACGGCACACGCGGTGACACGACCATGTGAGCTCTGCGTGTCCTGCCCGATTTCTCTGCAACCCTAAAATTGCTTAAAGACAAAACAGAAAGTCTATTTTTTTTTAATCAAAAGGTAAAAAAATAGTCTGGCAAGCAAGTTCAAAATACTTGTTTTTAATGTTTATTCATTTTTGAGAGAGAGAACACAAGCAGCAGAAGGGCAGAGAGAGAGAGACCGAGGCTCTGAAGGGGGCTCCGCGCTGGCAGCACAGAGCCCTACTCAGGGCTCCAACTCACTCACCAGCCATGAGATCGTGACCTGAGCCGAAGTCAGATGCTCAACTGACTGAGCCCCCAGGTGCCCCTTAAAACACTTTTAGTTGGGGCGCCTGGGTGGCTTAGTCGGTTAAGCCTCCGACTTTCGCTTGGGTCATGGTCTCGCGGTTCGTGGGTTCGAGCCCCGCGTCGGGCTCTGTGCTGACTGCCAGCTCGGAGCCTGGAGCCTGTTTCAGTCTGTGACTCCCTCTCTCTCTGACCCTCCCCTGCTCGCGCTGTCTCTCTCTCTCTCCTAGAAATAAAATAAAACATTAAAAAAAAAAAAAAACACTTTTAGTTGGGGCCCACGGCTGGCTCAGCACGGAGAAGATGCAGGGCAGGGGCTCCGGCGTCCAGGCGCAGCAGGTCAGGAAGGAGCTCGGGACCCCGGCCCGAGCCGGGCCAGGCTGCGGCCGAGAAACCTCCGACCTTGTGTTTTCCCTTGTCTAGGCCTCCCTGTCCTGCTGGCCATGCTGACCTTGACATTCCTCCTCCTGGCTGCCCCCTCCCTGAGTGCCCAGAATGGAAGTAAGTCTCAGGATGCCACCCTGTCTTCTGGGGGCGCTCAGCAGGGGTGGGGGAGCAGATCTATGTCAGGCTAAGGCGGGGCCCAGGCCCCAGGTGGGGACCTGACCCTGAGGCAATGCCCCTGGGCCACGATGGGATGAACCCCCCCCAGACAGCAGATAGCGGGTGCCCGATGACAACCTTCGGGGCACTGGGGGGCCTGGCCAGTTTCCAAGGGAAAGAGCGTCCTGGTCAGTTAGTGACAAGTGCTATGGCCAGAGGAGGGGCAGCAGGGCGAGCTGAGGACTTTCTGTCCCTGCTCTGGTCCCATCCCCTCCGCCCCCCGCCCCCGGGCCAGCAGCTCCAGCACCACCCACGACGGGCTCTGGGCCAGGCTGCGCCGCAAAACCACTGGGGGGGCTTCTCAAAGATGCCGGCCCCCCCCCAGCCCCGTGGAACAGAGTCCCTGGCTGCCCCGCGATCCCCTGACAGCCCTTGAGTCAGCCCCCCCATGTGGGAATGATTGTTCCTGCAACCTGGGCTCCCGGCCTGGGCCCCCCAACCCAGCAGCCTGTCGGGGGGGGGGGTACTTTCGAGTTGTTGGAATGTTTATAACAGACGTGTGTTCATGCAGCCCTTTGGTGGTCTTGTAAAGATGGAGAGAAAGCATTAAAACCCTTCCAGGGGCGCCTGGGGGGCTCAGTCGGTTAAGCGTCCGACTTTCGCTTAGGTCATGATCTTGCGGTTCGTGGGTTCGAGCCCCGCGTCGGGCTCTGTGCTGCCAGCTCAGATTCTGGAGCCTGTTTCAGATTCTGTGTCTCCCTCTCTCTCTGACCCTCCCCTGCTCACGCTGCCTCTATCTCTCAAAAATAAATAAAACATTAAAAACAACAACAACAACAACAAAAACCCTTCCAGAGCAAGCACTGTGATGGCTGAGGGGAAGTGGGGGTTTCCAGCCACTGACAGGCTTGGTGCCTCACATCCAGGGAGCCGTGACCGGCCCCGCCAGCCCGCTCGGGGACGCGGGCGGTTTCCTGCGGGCTCCCCTGTCCTTTCCCCTGGCTTGGCCGCCCTGCGCGGCTGTCCTCACGAGGGACACACCTGTGACCGTGGCCTGCACAGCCGGGGTTTGCCCCGTGCGTGCCTCGCACGAGCTTCCACCTCACACTCCCTCTCTCGTGGGCGCCCGAGGCCCCCAGCACTGCCCACACGTGGCACCGGCCACGCTGTGCTGTATTCGGTTAACTGTGGCCAAGCATTGTCTCCACCCGGTGGCGCGCCGGGTCACTGTCTGTCGTCTGTCCATCTGTGTCCCTGGCGGGAACTGGCGTGGCGGGATGGGGGGTCTGGCTCGCCTGGTGCTGGCGCTTGGGGCCCCTGCGTGTCAGGGTTTCCCCGATTGCAGGGGGAGGCTGGTGACGGGTGAATTCATTCCAGGGCTCGGCCTTCCCCAGACTGTGGGCTGGCTGTGTCCCTCGCAGGGGTGGGGCAGCTGGGGGTCCGAGCTCCTGCCTCGGACATCAGGGGGGCGGGTGTCCCGCAGGAGCCGGGGACCTTCCTTGTGGAGCTGAGTGTGCCAACTGCGCACACCTGGCCCAGGAGCTGGGGACGCTGAGGCGGGCCCTGGGGGACACGGAGGCAGCCACCCGCCCGGCCACCATTTCCCAACAGTCAGGTGAGTCGGAAGAGCAGAGCGCCCTCCACCCCACGCCCACCCCCTGCCCTGGAACCCACCCGCCGTGACGGGAGTCAGGGGACGTCTCCAGCCAGGTGACGCGGCACAGCAGACGCATGTGGGAACCCACACGGCCCCCCTGGCTTTTGTCTCTGTCTTGTTTTCCCACGTGAGACACCAGGGCTGATGCTCCCGTTGCTGTGTCCTCCGCCCCGAGCTGAGCCCCTGTGTCCCTGGGGGCTCTGTCCTGCCGCTGCCCTGCCCCCTGGCCCCAGGGAGGGGGGCCAGGAACCTCCTGAGGCCCAGCAGTGACCCACGTGTGACCTGTCCCTTGCTCACAGGCTGGGACAGCCCCTCCTGCACCGAAGGCGTGGTTTCCGTGTCCAGGGGCCAGTGCGCTGTGATGTCCTGCAACATCTCCAACCCCTTCTTGCACGTCACCATCTACTTAAACACCAGTGGAGAGGACTCCCAGCCCCTGTTCAGTGTGACGCCCCCAGGCTGCTTCTGCCAGGGTGGGTGGCAGCTGCAGGTCCGGGGAGGCGTGGCACAGCTGGTGATTCCCAAGGTGAGCGACACCCAGGCTGGGCGCTACAAGTGGCATCTCCAGGGTCTGCAGAGGAATGTCAGAGACACCACACTGAACGTTTCAGGTGAGCCGGGCTCCCGTTTAGATGAACTGTGCTCCTGTTTGGGAGGACAGCCCAGGGGAGGGGCAGCTCTCTCCCAGGGTGGGGCCCAGGCAGGGCAGGTCCGGGTTCCAGCAAAACAAAGTGAAACCACACACGGCCCTGCTCCCAAAGGCACCTGAGCCTCAGGGGGGCTCGGAGTGGGGGGCTGCCCTGTCCAGGGAGCAGGTGGGGCCCCTGATCCCTCTGCTTCTCCAGCCGGCCTGGGCTGGCCCCACTGCCCCAGGCCAGGCTTCTCCGACCACCCCCTTCCCAACTCCCTCCGTCCCCCCGCCACTGCTGACCCCGTGCCCTTCCCCCGACCCCCCCCCCCCTCAGGACACTGCTCAAAGTCAGCAGGGCACTGTGTCCCCTAGCCAGCTCTAATGCAATCACAGTCACCCTGAGCTCTGGGGGCAGAGGCAGTGAGGGGGCTGAGAACGGTGTCCCCAGCCTGGCCCGGCCTGGGGAGGGGACCCAGCCAGCCCCTTGTGGACTCATCTGATTCTTGGGGCTGGGGGGCTGCATCAGGCACAGAGGCCCCAGACCTGAACCAGGCAGGAAACGTGTCCTCCGCCTCTTCCTGCAGTAAGTGTTCTTACCTGTGCCCAGGTTCCCCGGGGAGCCCCTCGGGTGCCCCGGGCTGTCCCCACCCTCCGTGCCTGGCTCCCATGCCCACCTCCTGCCCATGGGGGTGGCATCCCCCTTGAAGGTGCACTCCTCGTGGGGGAATGAACGATGTCCCCACCCCCTCCCACAGGCCCGCAGATGGCGTGCCCGTCAGGGGCCGAAGGCCAGTTCCAGCTGGCGCTTGTCATCAGTGTCATTGTCGTGCTCGCTCTCCTGGCGGCTACCGGGTTAGCCTGGTGCCGAAGGCACGGTTCGCTGTACTCGAAGCCCCTGCAGGTCTGAGGCCCGGCACCCAGGCTTCTGTTCGCCTGGGGGTCTCAGTCGGTGAAGCGTCCGACTTCGGCTCAGGTCATGATCTCACAGTTCGTGGGTTCGAGCCCCGCGTCGGGCTCTGTGCTGACAGCTCAGAGCCTGGAGCTGCTTCGGATTCTGTGTCTCCCTCTCTCTGCCCTCCCCCACTCGTGCTCTGTCTCAAAAATAAATAAACATTAAAAAAATTAAAAATCCATTAAAAAAAAAGAAGGGTCTGCTGTAGCCTCAGAGACGCCCCACTTTGGGGCTTAGGTTGATCTTGAGCACACTCCTGTCTTTGACCACAAGCAAGAACAAGTTTGGGGGACCATCCTGGGGTCAGGCTGTGGGCAGAGGCCTGAGGTGGGGAACCAGCCCGCCTCCACCACTAGGGGGCTCCCCGGCGGGAGCAGGTGACAAGCGGCGGCTCACGGGCAGGTGTCCGCACATGGCTCCCCATCCCCTCTCCCTCCCAGCCCCAGGACCCCCTCCCCCGCCGCCCACCTGCTGACCCTCCCCCACCCCAGTCACAACGGTGTAACTCCATTCAGTGTGTTCTTAAGAGGGACATGCAGGCTTTTCCTAAAATACACATTCAGTGCTTTTAAAAACACCCATAAAGCTAACCCTTAAGATGAATAAAATAAACTGGCCAATAAACCACGAAATGACTGGGGGAAATGCACATTTTTTTAAGTGGGGGAAAAAACAAATAAATCTGAAAGAAGCTGCTTCCTGTCTTAAAGCACTGAAAAGCCCGAGGTCACCCACAGCAGTGGGTGTTTGGGTCCCCCCTCGCTGCAGAGGGCCCCACGCCGAGGCAGGGGGGCTGCGCGGCGCCTCAATGGGGCCCAGACCTACGAGGAAATTCTGGGTCTGGGTCTTTGTTTTCACTTCCTCCTTGCTGCTTGTATTTTCAAGGGTTTCTCTAAGGAGATCGAGCTCTGGGGCCTCACAGCGCGCTCCAGGCCCTGGCCCCTGGCCCTGTGGCCCCTGGCCCCACACTGCAGGGGTGGCTGAGTGGCGGCCAGACTTCTGGACACAAATCAGGTTCAGCAGAAAGTGACCCAGAGGGGCGCCTGGGTGGCTCAGTCGGCTGAGCATCCGACTCCTGGTCTCAGCTCAGGCCGTGATCTCACGGTTCCGGAGACGGAGCTCTGCGCGGACAGCACGGAGTCTGCTGGGATTCCCTCCCTCTCGGCGCCCCCTCCACTCTCGCACACGTGTTTTCCCTCCCCCCCCCCACATAAATAAATAAACTTAAAAGAAAAGAAAAAGAGAGCAGTGACCGAGAGGACCGGGGCATCAGGAGCCTGGACCCCACCCCACCGGCCCGACGCCCTTGGCCTTGCCCTGCTGCTGCCCTGAGCCCTGAGCCTGTGGGGACACAGCAGGAGCGGGTGACCGGTTGTCTACGGGTGCTCAGCAGGGCAGTGCGGAGAGGGGAAGGGAGTGAGGGCCGCCCCTCCCAGCCTGGCTCTCAGCACCTCCTCTTGCCCATGGCACCACCTCCAGGAAGCCCTCTCAGAGTCCACGGACCCCCGGTACCTCCTTCTGCCCTAACACTGGGGCTTTGAGGCGGTGCCGTGGAGGTGGTGGCAGCGGCTGGGTGCTGCCGACAGGAAGAGCCTCAGTCGGCCGAGAGAGGGGCCCTGCCTCCCCCGCCGCTGGGCCTGCGGGGGCACGGTGGCCGCAAGCATGGCCCTAGAGCTTCCACTGCTCCTGGCGCCCCTCACGGTGGCCTGCACCCTGCTCAGCGTCCTGGCCACGCAAGGTAAGCCCCCTGTGTCCCCACTGCGTGGGCTCAGTGCCCTCACCTGGGGGTGCTCCTCCCTGCGAAGGGGTGGCCTGGGGACCCTGAGCACGACCTCCCTACAGAGCCCCCGCCCCGCCGTCAGCTCCGACTCGGGGCAGAGTCACTGTGGCTTTGGTCTTTTTCTCTGCCTACCCGTCTTGGGGACTCTCTTTTCCATAATTAGCAAGGTTGCCTTTGTTATGAGAGAATGTTGTCTGTTAGTTTGCTTTTTAAAACAGATACAGTGCAAAGTGCTGCAATAAGATGGAAAGATCAGTTACACACAGCGGGGGGGGGGGGGGGACACTCAGCAAAAAACAAAAGAATCTCCAGAATTTAGTTTGCTGAGAAGCTGACGTTTAGATCAAAGAAGGTTCGTGTTTGCACCAGGAAGCTGGCCCTGGTGGACCCCAGTGGCACAGACGGGGACATTCCTGGGCGTCTCACAGACAAGCGAAGATGTGCCCACCCCAGACCCAGGTGCCTGCAGATGATGGGGAAACTGAGGCTGCCTGGAAGGAAAAAGAAGGAGGCGGGACAGTCCGTCTGCTGTCTCTGGGAGACGTGGTCGGAGCTGCCCACGGCCCGAACCTCCCCGGGCCCCTGTGTGGGCAGAGGCCCCAGGCAGCCCAGCCCTCTGGGGCCCCTTCAGCCCTCGAGGACAGCCCTGGGGTGCCGTCACCCGGGAGCTTCTGTGAGGCAAGGTGGTGGCTGTGGGGCCGTGCCAGCAGGGGGCTGTCCCAGGACACTCTGTCCCCCAGCCTCCCCGGCAGTGAGGAGGGTCCTGGCCTCTGGCCCGGCCCATGGTGACAGCAGGGGGTCCTTCCTGCAGAGATGCGGCAGGCCCCCCCGTACGCGATCGCCCCCGAGGGCGGCTCCGTCCACATCACCTGCTGCAGCAACGGGACCCTGCTGGGGGTCTACCTGAAGCAGAGGTGGCCGAAGCCGAGCAACGTGATCTACTATGAAGACAACAAGGAGCCCACGGTGGATGAGAAGTTCCGGGGCCGCATTGTCTTCTCGGGGCAGCAGCACAACCTGACGGTGACCATGCACCACCTGCGGCCAGCCGACACCGGGGCTTATGCCTGCCAGGCAGTCATGAAGGACGAGGTCTGGGGCCCTGGCACCTTGGTTGTGGTGACAGGTAGGGCCCGGGCCCACCCCAGGACCCCGCCCACACCTGCTGGGTGCGCCTGGCTCCACCTGCCCTTGTCGGGGACCTTTCCAGTGCACTTGCTTGAGCTGCTGCTTCCAGCGCGAGCCCACCCCCTCCAGGGAGGTGCCGGGTTGCCCACCCCCCGCTCCAGACCCCCTCCATGAGCCCCAAAGTCCCTCACAAAATCCGCCACCTGCCCAGTGCTCCTCTCCATTCCTTCTTCACAGACAAACTGTCCAAAGCAGGGGACACAAGCCAGGAGGCTTGGCCGATGCACTTTTCCTTCCCCGTGGCCCTGGCCGTCAGCGGCTTCGTCATCGGGCTGGGGCTGGGGGCAGCGTGCGTGCTGAGGAGGGCACAGGTCAGTGTGAACCCCCAGCTGTCACCTTGTCCCTGTAAGCTGGCTCCTCTGAGAAGCCCCGGGGAAACCCCAGGACCCATGCATCCCCTCCTCCAGGGTTCCTGGGAGGCCCGAGGGTGTAGACGGCGGGGTCGGGGGTGGGAGGGAGAGCCGCGAGACGTGAGCCGGGATGGGCATGGGCCCAGGAGGAAAGCACAGCTGTGAGGGGGGCCCGGGGACACGCTGGGAGAGACGGGCAGGTACTCGTGGGAGCGTGTGTGCACACAGGTGAGCACCTGTGTGTGCGTGCGGCATGCGTGGGAATCTGCGGGTGTGAGATCAGCGTGGGTGGGTGTGAGAGTGCACTGACAGGTAACAGAGACAGGTGCCAGGAAGTGGTCTGCTCTGCCCTGGTCACCCAGCTCTCTGCGTCTCTGCGAGCTGGCTTCACGCAGGCCTGGAAGCCCAGCAGCATCTCCAGGATCCGATCTAAAAGCTCCCGAGGGGGTGTGCACTGGGGACACAGACGCCCCAGGGCGAGCGGGACCCCGGACAGGAAGGAGGGGCTTGTCTTCTAGATCAAGAAGCTCTGCTGCCTGAAGGATGAGAACTCAGCGTGCGTGGTGTACGAGGACATGTCCTACAGCGGCCGAAACACCATGTCCACCCCCAACGTGTACCTGTGAGCCTGGCAGGCCCCCCAGGCCCCCCTTCAGCTAGGTGTGGCTCGCCGAGGGCCGCCTGACCCGGCGAGGTCGCACAGGCAGCTCTCTGCAGCCATCAGGCTCCTGGCGCCTCCTCCAGGAAGCCTTCCTTGCCTACCTCCTGCCTTCCAGGCTGCTCTGCTCTGCTGGTTCCGCCACCGTGGAGCCCCCGGGAGGAAGCCTCTCTGTCCTGCTGCTTGCTGCCCTTCCCCTCGCACGGCAGGGGGCTCCTCTGCAGGATAGACTTGGACCCCGGGCCTGGGAGGGGTCAAGAGGGGTGGAGGGGAGACGCAGCCCCCAACCCAGGCTTGCCAGAAATAAAGCACTTCTCTTCTCCCCTTTCCGACTCCAGCATCTATTTCTCAACCGGTTGAGAGCCAGACATCAGACATCTGCTAGGATTTTGCAGCCTGTGTGATTCAGTGTGATACCTTGAGGAAGGGCATGAGCAAGGGGGCACTTCCCCACTCCAGGCCCGGGGGGCCCCTGCCGCCCTGGACAGGCTGCAGAGCCCTCAACCCCCCCCCCCCGGCCCCCTCACCTGGCCTCACCTGCGTCCATCACAGAGTGAGGTGGGGATGGAGGAGGGGAGCCGGCAGCCGTGACCCGGGGGGGTCCTAACTAAGAGCCCTTCCCTGTTGCCCTCCTGTGGGGAGGCAAGGGGACCTTGGGGACCTATGCCCGCTCTCCGGGTGGGAAACAAGGCACCCCCAGCGTGGGTGCCAACTGTGATGTGTCCCCTGAGCCTCTGGGCTGAGAAACAGCAGACCACTCTGCCCACGCCGCCCATCCTGTGCCCTCCAACCTCCCACCAGAGCTGCAAAGGCAACCCCGATACGGTTGACTGTGCAGAAGCTTGAAAACCTCGCTCTGTAAAAACACTTCACACATAAATACATGACCAGCATCTACAAACTTGGGGGAGAAAAGTTACAGAACAAGGGTAAATATGCTTCACTTACAAAGATCCTTATCAATCAATAGAAAGAAAACACATTCGGATAAAAATGTACAACGAGTAAAAAATGAGTGATGAACATGGGAAACCATTCAAATTGCTAGTTACCAATGAAATGTCAGTAGAAATGAAATAACCCTTCATCACCTATGTTTGCAAAGATTAAAACTGTCATTAAGGTGTGAGTTTCTTTAACTTGGAAACCCACAAACCCACTTCTAGAATCTTGTCTTTGGGAAGTGATCTCTGAGCACAGAGTTATGGTGGTACCATCACGATACTGCTTGCAACACAAAAACGAACAACTGAGAAAGGACCTAAATATCCAAATAAGGGAATTGCCATATTCAGCAAGACGCGTACATGCAGCAAGCATCAAAATGGCGTTGGGGGGCGGGGAGCGCCTGGGAGGCTCAGTCAGTTGAGCGTCCGACTCTCGATTTCAGCTCAGGTCATGATCTCACGGTTCGTGGGATCGAGCCCCATGTTGGGTTCTGTGCTGACAGCTTGGAGCCTGCTTGGAATTCTCTCCCTCTCTCTCTGCCCCTCCCCAGTTCTCTCTCTCTCTCTCAAAATAAATAAACTTTCAAAATAAAATAAAGTAAATAAAATAAATGGCGTTGGGTGCGCACAGCACATGTGACCCTGTGTTTGTAAAGTACAGACGGGTACACGTGGCCGTGTGTGTCTGCACGGACGACAGGACGGACGGACACCCAGGGTGCCGACACTCGTTGTCCCTGGGTGCTGGGACGTGTGCTCAGCAGGCAGGAGTTCCTGGGACACCGCGGGCGCGGGGCAGGCAGCCTGGGACAGGAACTCAGCAGTTTCCCCAGAGGCCACCGGAGACCTGCCGCTGGGACCCGGAGGGCAGTCGGGAGGACCAGCAAAGAGGCGCCGGGTCCTGGCGCCCCAGCCTCGCAGGGACGCTGGAGCAAGTGCAGGCTGCCCTGCAGACCCGGGTATACAGCAGGTGTCTATCAGTTGTCCCCACTCCTGACCACTCAGCAAGTCCTCCCCCTCTGGGCCACAGCGTCCCCTCTGTAAACGAGGAGAGCGGGGGCCACGCTCCGTGGTGGCCAGGCCGAGCTGCACGTGCTTCCCCTGGCCCCCTGGCCCCCTGGCCCCCCGGCCCCCGGCTCCCAGGCGTCCGCGCCCTTTCCCCGCTCCCCACCTTCAGAAGCCACTTCCAGGAAATGAAAATCGTCACCTGCAGCCAGCTTCCGGAGGCCCTGTCACCTGAGGCGATCTCAGCCTGGCCTCACCCCGGTGACCGGGGCCTGAGCCCGAGTCACAGCCCCTCCGACCCGGTGCCTCCCCTCTGTGCTCACGGCCGTGTTCGCACCGTCTTCCGTCCCGTGGCCGGCTGCTTCTCTGTCCGCCCTCCAGACCGTGGCGACTGCAGGGCAGGCCTGGCTTCCTCCTCCGTGGCCCCCTCTCCCCCGGCCCTGCTGACACCCCCGTGTGCTGGGCATGTCGTGAAATACAGATGATAGATAATAGACAGACACGTAAACCTGACGGGCCTGGTTTATGCCTCCCCCGACAAGAAGCAGAGCACTGCCCAAGTCGCGCCCCCCCACCTGGTGCCGGAGCCTCTCAGGTTCAAATCCGTCACCTGTAAAATGGGGAAAAGGGCTGCCCCACGTGGTGAGGTGGCACGCGGACTGAGCACCATAGGTAAACCCTTGGAGCAGCTTCTGTCCGCTGCGCGAGCGTGGGCTCAGGAGGCCTGGACAGCAAGAGGCGACACTCAAGGAGTAGCTCCCGTGGCCAGGCCACGGCTGAGGGCAGGGAGTTTCCAGAGAAACAGAAAGACCTGGACCTGGGGTGGCTGAGCGCAGTGGGGAGAGTGGAAACGTGCACCACAGGGTGTCGAGTCCTTCCCACGCTGCCTTCAAAGCCAGAGGATGGCGACTGACCCTCCCGGAAAAGCCCAGTTCCCAACGCAGGGGCTCACCAGGTGGGGCAGCGGAAAGGGCTGGCACGGCAGGAAGACGGTCTTGAGGGTGGGGGCTCATCCCTCCCCACTCCAGGTTGGCCGGCCCCACAACCCTGCACCGGTCTTGACCCTCTCAAGACTCATGGCCTGATACCTCACATTCTCAGGGGGCAGCTGGCCGACTGGGCCTTGTCCACCTGTGGGTCAGGCCAAACACACCGAAGTCAAGGCCAGAGCAACCGACACCCTCAGAGGATAGCCGTCAAGGCATCCACTCGGGAAGGTCAGGAACAAAACCATAATCATTGACCCACTAATAACAGAGGGGACGAGCAGCGGGGGTGGGGGGCAGATCTGACAGGAAATCCCAGAAGGAGAAGAGAAGTAAAGCAAGCCTCAGAGACACGCGTAGTGGAGAAACTTCTCCAAGGGAGGCCTGAGAAAGGGAGACAGGAGAGTGGGAGCCCCAGAGGCAGAGTGCGTGAAGATAAGGGAGCGTGGGGCGGGCTGAGGACACCCCCCCCCCAGGTGGGGCGTGCTGCCCAGGGACAAAGGAAAGGACAGAAAATGAATGGTTAACTGATAGAGATCACAGTCCTGCAGGATATGAGTCTCCATCAGTTTACAGATATCTTCATATATTACAAAAGGCAATCTTATCAGTAGCCTTGTCTCCAGAAACCTATAGACTCCGTTTCCTGGAGCCCCAACATCACCTTCTGCCCACAGATGTGGGGGACAGACGCAAAAGGGAAATGGCAGGAAAAATTACATTTTCTTATAACCTGCAGCCCATCGACAGGGAAAACCACCTTAGCCTGACAATAGCCAGGCCTCTGGTGTCTGCGGAGTCGTCCTTAGCACATCAAAGCCCTCCCGGAGGCCTCCCTTGTGCCTGTACCTCCTCGACTCCATAGTGTATAACCAGTCACTCTTCACACCCCTGGGCAGCTCTTTCTGCCTCGGGCCCTGTCATCTTTTTGCACCAAAGACATCTTCAAGAAATCTTTCTTGGCCATCAACTCTGAACCCCACCATCACCCCAGAACCCCATCATGAGAGACTCTCTGTAAAGGGGCACCAGACGGCCCACTGGCGGAGGGAGGGAGGAGAAGGCAAGCCTGCATCACACATTCTGGGGGTGAGAAAGAAGTCCCAAATCTCAGGAGGCATCAGATTTCTCAGAGGCATGAGAATTCACTAAGACAATGGAAGGGCGCCTGGGTGGCTCAGTGAGCTAAGCGTCTGAGTTTGGCTCAGGTCATGATCTCATGCTTTGTGAGTTCAAGCCCTGCATTGGGCTCTGTGCTGACAGCTCAGAGCCTGGAGCCTGCTTCCGATTCTGTGTCTTCCTCTGTCTCTGCCCCATCCCACTCGAATTCTCCCTCCCTCTCTTTCTCTCTCTCAAAATGAATAAACATTTAAAAAAGAAACAGAGGGGCGCCTGGGTGGCTTAGTCGGTTAAGCATCCCACTTTCACTTAGGTCATGATCTCGCGGTTCGTGGGTTCGAGCCCCGCGTCGGGCTCTGTGCTGACTGCCAGCTCGGAGCCTGGAGCCTGTTTCGGTCTGTGACTCCCTCTCTCTCTGACCCTCCCCTGCTCATGCTCTCTCTCTCTCTCCTAGAAATTAAAAATAAATAAATAAATAAAAATAAATAAAAAATAAAAAAGAAACAGAAGACAGTGGAATAATACTTAATTATTAACTATTGAAAGAGAATAACTTTGTACTTGAAACATTAAGTTATCATTTCAGTGTAAGGACATAATAAAGATATTCTGGAGTACATAAGAATTTGAAATCACTCTTGGAGGCAGTGTTCAAATAAAGCAGACCCAAACACAGGAGACATTACAGGAGGAAAAAGACGCCAATAGCTACAGAGTTTACGTTTGCCAAAAAACAATGACTAAAGAAATATACAACCTGCAATCTATGTGCAATCTACATAACAATCTAGAACTAAAATTCTAGAGAACACCAGCGCAACGGAGAGGGGGAAGGGGAACACATGCTGAGACATCTTTCTCGTCAGAAGGAAGACACAGACCAAGATAAGGTTAAGAACTCAATCCGGATAAATGAGCAGGAAAGGGCCCAGGGGCAGCCACAGTAAGAACCCAAACAGAACATAGTACATAAACCAGCAAAAACAGCTGTCCAGTGGAAACAGGAAAAGAAAAAAAAAAGAATAAATGCAAAGACAGTGCAGTGAATGGAAAATACGAAATGAGGTGACAAAATGAACTGATTTAATAGTTAAGTACAATTAGTCCTAATAACAGGAATTACAACTGCAATAACTATACAATAAATACTTTCACAATAAATGTAAATGGGTCAAACTCACCAATTAAAAGGCAGTGTCAAAAGATACTGGATTAAAAGAAAAGATTCAACAATATGTGGTCTGCAAGAGACAATGCTTTAAACAAAGAGACACC